ATTTTTGTTGTGGTAGGTGTTTATCGGTCAATGTGACATGAACTAAATTGTTCAACCTTTATATTATATATATATATATATATATATATATATATATATATATATATATATATATATATATATATTTTTGTGTGTGTTTGCGCGTGTGTGTCTTTAGATTTTTAAGTCAACTGGCTCCAAGTTGATATTTCTTTTTTCACTACATGCTCGTATACAGCATTGTGTTATTATTGTCTTTGCGATCATCAGTAATATAACATATGGCCTTGGACTTAGATTTACTATTTATATATGGAAGCACAAATGGGAAAAATCATAATTAGAACGTATATATCTGAAGAGCTTCTGATAAATATCCAAGGATAAAATGATAATATAAAAATGATAATATAAAAATGATAATGTAAAAATGATAATATAAAAATGATAATACAAAAATGATTATGTAAAAATGATAATGTAAAAATGATAATTTAAAATGATAATGTAAAAATGATAATGTAAAAATGATAATATAAAAATAATAATATAAAAAATACTCTCATTTCGGTCGGTATGCGCATTTAGAATAACAACTTATACATGATAATTTATTGTCATTTTCAAGTTAGTGTGCTGATTAATCAGGAAAGGGTTGACATACGTCTGTTTATCTTGTTCTAGACACACCACTCCTGCTACGGATGCTGTATATATGGTACATCTACCACCCTAATGTGTTTCGGGACCCCCGATCGTGATAGTTAAATTTGGCTAAGCGTTTTTGACAGCGATTAACAAGTGCCTTCATGCCGCGATCGAAATCTCTGTACTGACGGAGGCCTGCACAGTTTATTTACACAACTGACATGACATTGTCTATGTCCGGAAAATGCTGCCCGCGTCGCCCGTCTTTCATCGTTCCCGAACGATAAAAGTCGGAAGGCGTCAAATCCGGCTTATACGGTGCGTGTGGTTGTGAAATACAGCCAGAATTAGCAACGTGAGTCATGATAATCAAACATGGGTAGGGCTTGTCGTTATCGTATTACAAACTAACAAAAAAAAAACATATGGGTTGTATCGGGAAGGTTCGACCGCTATATCCCTACCGCCATTATTCTCCTCTGCATCGTTATGGAAAAGGAAGCATTAGTTTCGGATCGACTGCAGTAAATCAGAGTGGCTATATTGTTAGATTAAATCGTTTTCTTTATCTAATATTCCTTTACGATACAGGTGACTATTTGAATTCCTTAACATGTGAATTGGCATGTTTTATTGGGAAAGAGAGCGGAGATTATCCCGTTGCTTTCTTTAAAGTTTTGAATCCAATGTATTTTTTTTCTTAGACTGGCTGCCATCCAAGGCTAGAAAGCTCAGTGTACGCTGCTACTTACCCCTATAACTGCAGCCAAATAGATAGATGTATGCCTTTCCTTAGAGTACTAGCAGGATTGTGACAGTTACTGCGTCAAGGGGAGATGGCATTTGCCAGAAGGATCTTCTCCATTTTCATACTATGTACAGAATCAAAGGCTTTAGAGAAATCTATAAAAAAAATAAGGCAGTCTGTAGAATATTTGATACAGTAACTGCAATTATGATGCTATACGAATATATATCTTTGGCTAGATCCTCAGACGGAGACAGTAGCTTCTTCGTTATCAAAGTAGGGTGACACCTTCAGGATGACACCCTTGCACCTTCTTTTGGTTATCACCTGACTACGTCTTGAGAACTTACTCGATTAACATTGTCATCGAGGTTTTACTTCATCACTAAGACTCTTCATCGATAACCTACAAAAAATCAGATAATGACTATGTTGGTGACCTCTTTGCAGACACCATTACCAACATCATTCGACTGAATGCTGCCAACGATGTCAGTGCCTCTAAACTGAATTCAAAATATATAACCAGCTAATTTCCATTCAGACTGTCACAGGTGCATCAATAAAATGAATCAATTTTTGGTCAACTTTTTTGTAGGTTATCGATTTGAGAGTATTAGTGATAAAAGATTTAGTTATGCTTTCTTTTTCACATCCCTTCCGTAGAATTTATTTTTTCTTCGTAAAAGAACAAATTTATTCACCTGAGACTGTAGATTCACCTGAGACAGTTTGAATTCTCATTGTTGGTTTCCTATAATCTAGTTTTAGATGAATTGGTATAGAGTCAATCATCGTTGGCTGCATTTTCTAGAGGATGTAAGAGAACTGAAGCATTGGTATTGATGTCTTTTGATAGCGAGGTCACCAGCATAGTCTTTATTGGTCAACTTTTTTTGTAGGGTATCGATTTGAGATTATTAGTGATAAAGTTAATCCCAAAGTTAGTTTTGAATCTATCAGCATTTTAAGGTGGATTCTCGCTTCTTACTAATACCACTCCTCCTCCTCCCTGACCCCACACTTCCCTGACCCCCCCTCCACCGTCTGAATATGTGATGGACATGTTTCTCATTATTACTATTATATTATTACTGAGTATATTTCATCTTATTATTGTTGCTTTTATTCCAAAAATCTGTCTGGATAAACTCTTCATTATAATTCTTGTTTCTTTACTAGAGAAGGCCCGATGGTGTCATGGATAGAAATATCAGGGATGGCTGCATAGAATTGTGATTTAGTTGGATGCTGTCTCCAAGAGATGTTAAGTATAGCTTTCAGCATCCGATTGTAGGTTTCACTCAGCTTAGACTCTAGAGTTTTAGTTTAATGTCCAGCCATGGTGACATACATTAACACCACCTGTAGAGTGGCTCGAATCTCCGCTCGTGGGTACATCCATTTTATTAAATATGGCCCAGGCTTTAGCGATGCTAATTTTCACATCATTTTCAGTAGAATTTATCTCGCTTCCTTGGTATATAAAAGATACGACACATTTTATTGATGTACCTGGTCCAGTTTGAATGGAGTCTTGCTGGTTGAATCTTCATTTGAATTCAGTTTAGAGGCACTGACATCGTTGGCACGCATTGTCTGGATGATGTAAGAGACCTGTGGCGTTTTTTGGTAATTGTCTGCAGAGCGAGGTCACCATCTTATCATCATCTATCTGACAACTTTTTTGTAGGTTATCGATTTGAGATTTGGTAATAAAGGTAAACCCAAAGTTAGTTTTGAATCTACCAGCACTTTTAGGTGCAATCTTGTCTCTTGCTAATTGAATTCCCCACACCGTTTGAATATGTGGTGAACACTTTCTTCATTATTACTATTATATTATTACTAGTTTTATTTCATGTTATTATTGCTTTTATTCCAAAAATCTGTCTGGATAAACTCTTCATCATTTTTTTTGTTTCTTTACTAGAGAAGGCCCGGTGGTGTCATGGATAGAAATATCAGGGATGGGTTTATAGAACTGTGATTTAGTTGGATGTTGTCTCCAAGAGATGTTAATTATAGCACTCAGCGTCCGAATGTAGTTTTCTCTCCGCTTAGACTCTAGGGTTTTAGTTTAATGTCCAGCCATGGCGACATATATTAACACCGCCTGTAGAGTGGCTTGAATCTCCGCTTGTGGGTACATCCATTTTATTCATGACGGCCCAGGTTTTAAAAGCCTGCAAGTGATATACTGCTCTAGACAACTAGCCATAGAGCAAGACGTGTTAGTCCCCCACCAAACATGCTATGACCTTCCGAACTTAATGCATTACCTTGATGGTTGGCGTGATAGGTTCATGAATGCCTGAGTTAGCTCGACCGGATAAATAATAAAGGCATTAGTGCGGAGGGTTCGCAGGAGGCTAACTCGTAATTTGAATTCGGCTTTGCGATTCCATTTTCCATACTGATAAGTAATTCACACATTTTCTTTTTAGACGGGAGTCCAAGTACGAACTGATCACGTCACAGCTCACCCGGACCGTTTTATCAACGTTGTAGATACGTTTTGTTTTTGTCGGTGGATATGTGACATTATAGCGACTTTACTTACCGCTGTAATTGCCTCTTTTTCCGATTGCTAGACAGAACGCCCAAGTACACAAAGTTATGTTAACCTTGCGACAATTCGCAAGGTTAATATAACTTTATTTTCTTTGATGAAGAATCGTTCTGTCTATATCATCATTGTAGCTAAAAAAAAACATCCTGACTGGTCAAGTGAAATCAGAATACTTATTCTTCACTTAACAATATGCATAGAAATTATAAAAATCTTATATCTTATTTTATTTTTTTTAATTGAGAATCATCCTGTACCGCTGTAGGGAGTACCTGACTCCACGGGATATCCTCCACCGCCAAGAGCGAGATCAGGCCTAAAATGGATTACTGCTGTCATATCTGGACAGGAGATGAATACTTCTTACTACCCAATACTTATAGAGTCTAAAAGCGTATCCATGTCCTTGTGGCTGACAAACTATTTTCAACCCTCCAACCTCTCTCTCTCTCTCTCTCACAGGTGGGATGTGGAGAGTCTCTCACTCCTCTATCGCTACTTCCATGAAAAGTGCTCAGACGAACTACACTCCTTAGTTTCACTAATCCTAACTTTTACGGTTAGGACCCGCCATGCTACGCGCATGGTAGCCAACCACTTTCACTCCCTTCGTATTCCACCGGTGAGAAGTAGGTTCCGCCCGAACAGCTTCTTTCCTCGGACCACTGCCCCTGACGATGTTTTCCCGATCACTATAATCTTAACCTGAGCAAGTTTAGGGATAACCGTGATCTTCTCCATACATCCGTATAAAGTGTGCCTCGTACTCTGTAACCCTCTACATCGAGTGGTTCCCTGGCCTTGTATAGTGTAAACTCACTGTAAAAAAAAATATAAAGTTTAGATGATAAATTCCCGTTTTAATATCTTCTTGGGACTTATTATCTATTGTCTGTTAATGTAATAATTCCTGGTGACATGCTTGAAACGTTAAACGTTAGCTGTTGTCGGGATATCTGGGTGGTCGACAAGAAAACCTTTTTGTAACCTCAAAGTAAAGTTTCACAAACGTTGTAACAAAATTTTTTTCTTAGCTGGAGTATTGGTCTAATTCATATCACGCTGAAACACCAGCTCTCGTACAATCAGCGAAGTTAAGCAACGTCGAGTCTGATCAGTACATAAATGGATGACCGCTTGGGAATACCAGGTGCTGTAAGCTTGGATGTGCGGGTGGTGTAATGGATAATGGCTTGGAATTGTTAATCGGAGAGCCGAGTTCCCGTACGATCACCGAAGTTAAGCAACGTCGAGCCTGGTCAGTAACTAGATGGGTGACCTCTTTGGAATGCTTAGATGTGCGGGTGGTGTAATTGATAATGGCTTTGAATAGTTAATCGGAGAGCCGAGTACCCGTACGATCACCGAAGTTAAGCAACATCGAGCCTGGTCAGTAACTAGATGGGTGACCTCTTAAATACCAGAGTTCCAATTTCAGTATGATTCTATTCATTTACTAACAAATATAATTGGGAAGGATATGACTATAGCTCCCCCGCCCATGGGTTAATTAGTAAGACACGAATAAGTTATTTATTATTATAGGAAAAAATTCACTAACCTGCAAAGGGTTGATAACCCGTAGAAAACGAAAAAAATCAATCAGTCGCCAATTACTGTGCGTCATATCCTAAAAGGGTAGAAATTAAGAAAAAGTCGAAATAATTATTCTCCGAACGTGGTCTAGAAGCCATCTTAACTTGACATACGGTTCCATAAAAATCTGAGGTTTAGGGCCGTATCACGATGAAACATTGTTTCTCGTACGATCACCGAAGTTAAGCAACGGCGAGACGAGTCAGTACCTAGATGGGTGTCAACTTAGGAATATCAGGAGCTGAAAGCTTGGATGTGCAAGTGGCATGTTTTACAGCCATATGATGGTGAAACAACGGTTCCCATACGATCACAGAAGATAAGCAACGTCGAGCCTGGTTAGTACTTAGATGGGTAACCGTTTGGGAATACCAGGTTCAACTCACAATTAACATGTCACCAATTCATACACCAAAGATTTAATCGACTAGGCTATTGTCCCGTGGGACAATCTTCTGCAAATTATTTAATGTCTATCTATCTATCTATCTATCTATCTATCTATATCTTTCGGCCTTTCAATTATCTATCTATCTATCTATCTATCTATCTATCTATCTATCTATCTATCTATCTATCTTCTTCGGCCTTTCAATTATCTATCTATCTATCTATCTATCTATCTATCTATCTATCTATCTATCTATCATCTTCTTCGGCCTTTCAATTATCTATCTATCTATCTATCTATCTATCTATCTATCTATCTATCTATCTTAATTAACATCATCTATCTATCTATCTATCTATCTATCTTCTTCGGCCTTTCAATTATCTATCCATTCATTCATCTATCTATCTATTCATCTATCTTCTTCGGCCTTTCAATTATCTATCTATCTATCTATCTATCTATCTATCTATCTATCTATCTTCTTCGGCCTTTTCAATTCATTCATCTATCTATCTATCTATCTATCTATCTATCTATCTATCTTCTTCGGCCTTTCAATTATCTATCTATCTATCTATCTATCTATCTATCTATCTATCTTCTTCGGCCTTTCAATTATCTATCTATCTATCTATCTATCCATCATCTATCTATCTATCTATCTATCTTCTTCTATCTATTTCAATTGTTCATATCTATCTATCTATCTATCTATCTATCTATCTATCTATCTATCTATCTATCTTCTTCGGCCTTTCAATTATCTACATTCATTCATCTATCTATCTATCTATCTATCTATCTATCTATCCATATATCTATCTATCTATCTATCTATCGGCCTTTCAATTATCTATCTATCTATCTATCTATCATCTATCTATCTATCTATCTATCTATATCTTCTTCGGTTTTCAATTATCTATCTATCTATCTATCTATCTATCTATCTATTCATCTATCTATCGTTATCTATCTATCTATCTATCTATCTATTTATTATCTATCTATCTATCTATCTATCTATCTCTTTCATCTATCAATTATCTATCTATCTATCTATATCTATCTATCTATCTATCTATCTATCTATCTAAGTCGGTCATTCATTTATATATCTATCTATGTCAGTCTGTTAATATCTCTCTTGATTTCGCTGTGTTTTCTTTATTTAAGATTTGTTATTATTTATGAAGCTATATATTCCGGTCTCTTATCTATCTATCTATCTATTCATCTATCTATCTATCTATGTAAGACTTGTCCTATCTATCGGATATAAAAGAGATCGATCTTCATTTACATTTACTTGTCAGTGCACATGATTTAAAAAGCAACAGTCTACCGTTTCCCTTTTCATTTACATGTGTCCCTCCGCGGCATTTAAATCACGGTTTTGGAAATATTGGAAAACGATACTGGCAATGAAGGACGAGATAATCATCGGCTGTTTTCCAAGCCTAGTCTCAGACATTTGCCAGGACCACCATGCAGATGTTATCATTGAAATAGGCCGTTAACAAAAAAAGAATAGGGAACATCCAATCGCTGTCGACCAACTTCCAGAACACACCAAGTGAGCTTCAATTTCAGCGCCTCATGCTTCTTAGAAAAATACGATTAATATTCAAATAAAGAAGGAGCTTCTTAAAATTCCTGATGTTTGTTCATTTGGTCAGATTTTAAGAATACAACACAAATGTCACACACACATACACACACACACACACAAAGGCAGGATGTGTGTGTGTTTGTAACGAATGCACGGCCGCAATTTCCGACGGATTTGCACCAAAATTTACATGCACATTCCAAGTTAGCGGGAAGGCCAAGACCGACTTTGCATTCCCAATCCATTAATAGTAGAAATAATCAATTTTTTCATGCTTCTATGGCAGTTTTTATGTAGTTTGCGGCCATTTTGTACTGGCCAGAGTGAGAGCCATCTGGCTGCCACGAATAGCAGGGAAATTCCATTTGCCAGCGTGAGAGCCAACAGCTGACTGACACGAATGTTAACTAGCATGTTAGCATGTAAAAAAATCGACACCATTCGTCATAAGTGGAAAAAAATTTAAATCTGCATGGCACTTACTCCAATTGGCTCATTCGCTTGTTTAAACTCAACGTTGATTCTGATTCCACAGAACTTGGTTGGGTGTGAAAAAGTATTTGTTGTTAACATTCTTTTTTTCATTCGGTTTTTCCAGTTACGAGTCCTTTTTTAAAGCTGATCGTTTTGTGTTCATTTTGTTTAGTTCTTTTTTTTCGTAACAGATTTAATGTTTAGTATAGAGATTAGAATAAATTTGCAGTGTGAGAGAGGCAAGAAGTAAGGCATGTAGCAACATCAGCATGGCAAAGGGGCACTTTTAAAGGCAAGGAAGGTAAAAAATATTTTAAGTCAGATAGTGATTGCTGTATAAGTCATACGATTTTTGAATCAAGACGGCAACGCATCGGGTCATGCCTTTATATATATATATATATATATATATATATATATATATATATATATATATATATAAAGAACAAAAAAGATAACAATCCAGTGTTAATATAGATATTTTTATTTTACAAAATAGCTCAAATAAATTTACAGAGCATTGATAATTAATTTAAAATATGTTTTCGCTACACAGTTCTAACCATGTTTGAAATGTTTTTTGAAACATGGTTAAAAATAGCGAAAACACATTTTAAATCAATTATTTATTATATATATATATATATATATATATATATATATATATGTGTGTGTGTGTGTGTGTGTGTGTGTGTTATATTCCGTCTAATAGGAATATATACTTGAACAACACGGTGGATAAAATAAGTAAAGATTTATTGTAAAAATAACAGTACAATAAGAATAAAAAGTAACAGTTATGCATAAGGTCGTGACAAGGCAATCCGTTATGAGTGCTACTATTGGAAAATCGGTAGTTCTCGCGTCGTACTCAACAAATCCCAGCTAGTCGTTATTTACTATCCCCACCCCCACGAGTTTAACGGGGGACATTTTAGGCTCGCCCAAAATTGCACGTAGAACCCGCATAAAAGGATCGGGTTGGTCTAAATTTGGAACGAGACTCTGCACTTCGGCAACGCCTCGTCCAGATTCCTCTATGCGAAGGAGAGGCGACCGTATAGCTGAAAAGATTCCAACTAGGATTTTTTCCAACAGCCCGACGTGGTTAGATGTGCCACAAGGCCAAATTTGAGAAAGAAAAGCTCGTAGGCTCAGGCAAAAAAACCCCGTAGAACACGAATAACGGGATCAACATTGAAATTCCATTGAAAGACTCTGCCCTTCAGCTGAGCCTCGTCCGGGTACCCACTGCTCAGAGGCGGAGAGTTCGAAATAAAAAAAGATTTCGGCTAGAATATTTAGAAGGGGTTTTTCATTGTATTTAAGGCCGGGTTTAACGTGGGTTTTTTCCGAGCCGGTAGGAAAACGAAAAATAACTTTCGAACCCGTATAAACGTCTAAGTCAGTAAATTATATTTTTATTTTTATTTTTTTTTAATATAGTCGATTCCATTTAGATACTTTTTCATAGTCTGGAGAAGTCACCACTTTTTTACCAATTAAAGTACTGAAATTGTCCTGACAGGGTGGTACCTTTTACCACGCGAGATGGAGAATACATATATCTATATATCTATATATATATATATATATATATACACACTTCTATCTTACTCTACGTCAATTCAAGGATCGCATTCAGATATATTTTTATCTACATATGTAATAAATAAGTTTTACAGGGTGACACTTTTCAGTGAATTTTCCCTTTGGCTAAGAAAAGCAATTTTAGAGTGAAAGAACATCCTTCAAAAAAGATATCCATTTTTCATCCATTGTTTCTGGCCTGCTTGACAATTTCAAAATTAAAGATAAAAAGAATTTATTTTTTTTATTTTAATAAAACGCATGCGCACGGCATCTTCATCGTGCGCATGCGTTAAGTGTTCCCATCAAAAGAAAACGATCATTTTTTTCGCTTTATTTTCTGATATAACTAATTAGTCCCTAGAGTTGACATATAGATTTATAACACGTGGTTTAGTTCCGTTCATTACATGCCATGATATGTTTTTAGTTTCAAATTATTTAAGACAAATTAATCTTACGGTTGTTCTGTAAAAAAGCAAAACTTTTACGGAAAAAAGCCAAACCATGTTCATTCTTTTGTTTAGCAAAAGGATCAGATGTGGGGCTATATTATTAGATTCGCGTTTTTCATAACGACATATTTTTTCCCAATGTTAGGCAAATATATGAGGTATATTTTTAAATTATATCTACTGTTTATCGTTTTTGCGTTTAGCTATTAATAGAAAGTCGATTGCAAAACCTGAGGGAGAAATGCAATGAAAATATGTTCCATATTACCTGTCACCAATCAGCATTTGAAATACTCTGTTTTTGTTGGCTAAGACACAAAATGAAACGGTTTTAGGAATAAATCGTCACTGCTAATGTCGAATAGATTCTTAAGGTGAACACAGAAAGTAAAAACAGAAAATAGAGAGATACTTCAAGGACAAACTTTTTCATCTATATATAAAGTGGAACAGTTGATTATATTGTTTAGATTACTACATGTCACACTCGTTGTGTTATTCAATACTGTATGAGCATTTTGTGAGGATCGAACTCACTACTTAGGGTCAAACAGACTTTTTTATATACAGGGTGTCTATAAAGTTCGTGTGCACTTTAAAAAAATTATAATTTTATTTGTATTTGCGATAGAAATAATCTGTAAAAAACGTTATAAAGCTTAATGTACCTAGCTTTAAGCTTTCCACGTTAGGAAACATTAATCTAGACCATTTTGAATTATTATTTCATGATTAAAATGATCAAAGTATATTACAGAATAAGCTTTCATTCAAATATTTTATACATGCGTCCATAAAGTTCGTGTGCACTTTAAAAAAGTTATAACTTTATCTCTATTTGCGATAGAAATA